GGTTGCCCATGGACCCATTGAAGTCTTGGAGCTCCTCGAGCCCTCGGGGGCCTCTCAGAAGGGCCCCGCTGGTTCTTGCGACGGGGTCTCGGGGGAGGGGGCAGAGTGAGGGTGGCATTGGGAACCAGAAATATAAGTGAACTGGCGTCCCTTTGAATGTGCAGGTCTTGGTTCACTTGTTTTCGTCGTTGAACGGGCGGTGGCAACGTCGGTGCCTTCGCGCGCGCCCATGCCATTCTGGGTGAACGCCTTCGCCGTTCGAGCAGTGGGCGTCTCCCCGACGTTAGTTGGCGTGGGATCCAGTGCCTGACAGCGGAGAGGGGGGCGCAGGGACGTGGCGCGGGGGCGCGGAGTGGGCCGATTAGGGGAGGGGGGCGGCGGCATGTCCGCCTGAAGGGCGGAGGAGCGCAAAGGGGTGGGGCGGGGGCGGCATGTCCGCCACGAGTTGGAAGGCGAGAAGGCTGCGCTACAAGGCGGCATATCCGCCACGAGGCGGCATATCCGCCACGACCTTTTTGTTATCCCGAGGCCGCCCCGTTGGCCTGGAGAGTTGAAGAGTCGTAGCGCGAATTACTCGCCGCGCGCCCTGGCGGCGAGCTCCTTCTTGACCAGCTCCTCCGCCTCCGCGATGGCCCTGGCCTCGGAGCGATCGGGCGCAACGAGGCAGCAGGGGGCGGAGGGGGCGTCGAGGCAGGGGCGAAAATGAAGAGAGCGCGGAGGAGGGCGTCGAGAAGGGCGTCGGTGAGAATCTGGCCTTGTCGGCCTCATCGCCCGCGATGTACTTCAGGCTGACGTTGCTGCCAGGGACGCCGACCCTGCCGCTGCGGAACTGCACCTGGGGGGCGGAGCAACGATGAACAGTCGCCTGAAAGGCGGCGGGCGCGCAAACTGCGACCCCAGCGGGGCTGCTGGGAATCGCCGCGCGCGCCCGACGCCTCATCGGTGGGAGGTTCAACCCCGCTCGCCAAGTTGCGTGTGGTCTGCATCTCCCACCTCGGCTTCGCCCACTTGCGCTGCTTGTCCTTCCCAGCCGCGCCGTCCGTCTTCTTGCCCGTGGGGAGCGGCGTCTTCTTAGCCACGTTGCCCGTGGCAGGCGGCGTCGTCTTCTTTGCCGCGTTGTCATTGCCAGGCGGCGTCGTCTTCTTAGCAGCATTGCCCGTGGCAGCGTGGGGGCCTTCACCGCCTCGGCGTTCTTTTTCGTCTTGACCGCCTTCGTCCTCTTATCCATGGCCGCGACCATGGCCAGAGCCGCCTCCGTCGGGGTCTTCTTCAGAGAGCCTGCGGCGATGCCGACCTTCTCAGCCTTGGGCGGCGGCGTCACGGCGACGATGCCGAAGTCGGAGTCGGAGTCGAGCTCGATCGGCAGCTCATGCTTCTTCTGCTTCTTCGCCGCGCGGCTCTTGCTGATCGAGGCCGTCTGGGCGGCGGCGGTGCTCAATAACGGCTGACAGTCGGCGGGTTTGCCGCCATCGTGTGCCGCCAGCTGCTGCGTCGACGGGATGGGGGGGGGGGAATATTTCACAACACGCCCTCCGATCCAGGCATCCAGAAACGCACCCCGCGCCGATCCAGGAACCCACCCCTCGACCCAATACCAGGTGTCCCGCGGGGGAATGCGTTCTGTTATTCCCCGTGGAGCCGTCGGCCAGCGCCCAGAGAACGAATCGGCCGCCGCGATGGGGAGGTGCTGCTGAGGAGAGCCGCCGCCTGGGCCGTGGGATGGCTGCAGCCCGCCGCGGGCGGGCGCAGGCGCGGGCAGCGCGAGGTGGCCGCTCTTCTTCCCTGCACGGAGATTAATCAGCTTCGCAATCGTCACCATCTCGACGGGATTTATCTGCGGCGCCGTCGCTCCAACACCTGGCGGGAAGGCGTCGACGTACGTGATGGGGTACTGAGACTGGAGCCTCCCAGGCGTGATGGGGAGAGCCTGGATGCCATCCCTGGGCGGCGGCATCGTCGCCACGAGATTCTTGAACGAGGATTTCACTGTGGCCAGATATGACTGCAACAGCTCCCTCGTGATCTCGCCCGTCTCCACGCCTGTCTGCTTGCACACCAGCAACAAGAATGCTGCCATATTGGCGGCCGTCGGGCAGCTCGGATGCCTCAGGCCAAGCGCCCCGAGGTGCTCTGAGAACGCCGCCATCTTGGCAGTGAAGCCCGAATGCGGCGAGAGCACGAACTCCCACAACTGAGGCGTCAGAAATTCAATGAACCCCTCGTAGTTCTGGAGCTTCCTCCCCTGCAGGCTGCCCGACGACAGAGCCTGCAAGAAGTCTCCCAGCTCGGACTGCGCCCACCCCACGCCGCCGCCCAAAGCAGCAAACTGCGCACTCTGGAGCTGCGACCAGCGCTGGGACGTCGCCGCCTGGATGCAGGCAGGAAGGTGCTCCGTCGCACTGCCGCGCGCTACGAACGCCGCCCGCGCCTCCTCCAGGCGGCCTCGAAGGATGCCCTCCATGGCAGCGATGCGGCGCGACCGCGCGCCGAGCGGAGTGCGCGACTCCCCGCGCGCGCACGCCGCCCGAAGCCCTCGGAGGAGGGCTCGCCAAAAACGGATCGAGCCAACGCGCGTGCGACGGACATATCCTACTCCTGCTCTTCCTGCTCCTCCTCCTCCTCCCCCTCCTCCTCCTCCTCCTCCTCCTCCCCCTCCTCCCCCTCCTCCCCCTCCTCCTCCTCCTCCTTCTCCTCTTCCTCCTCTCCCTCCTCCTCCTCCTCCTCCTGGGTGAGGGGGGGCGCAGGGGGGAGAGGGTGTCGAAGGGGGGGCGGGGGAGGGGGTGCCGAAGGGTGCGCGGGGGGGAAGAAGAGAGCTATGGGGGAGGGTGGGTCAAGGAGAGGCCAGGGAGGGGAGGGGGGAAAGGGGTGGGCGGCTTGCCGCCGAGGGGGTGGAAGGAGGCGGCAAAGCAAGCCGCCGATAGGGCGGTTGGGAAGAAGCGGTTTCCCGCCACGAGGAGGAGAAGGCGGTTTGCCGCCAGAGGAGGAGTAGGCGGTTTGCCCCCAGAAGGGGTAGGCGGTTTGCCGCCAGAGGAGGAGAAGGCGGTTTGCCGCCAGAAGGGGTAGGCGGTTTGCCGCCAAAGGAGGAGAAAGCGGTTTGCCGCCAGAAGGGCGGTTTGCCGCCACGGAGGGGGAGAAGGCGGATTGCCGCCATGGGGGGGGGAGAAGGCGGATTACCGCCGACGGAGGACGAGGCGACGGAGGAGAAGGCGGTGCGCCGCCTAAGGAAAGGGGGGATAAGGGAGGGCCGAAGACACATGGATAAACATTTTCCTCCTTCCCTCCCCCCTCCCCGCGGGCATGCGCGCAGCCCGCAGCGCCGCGGCCGCGAGGTACAGCAAGTACCTGCGGCGCCTCGGTCCTGAACAACTGAACAACAACAACAACGGAAATTCAATGGATTTCAAAAAAGTTAAGAATAAAAAATACGCAAATGATTAGCAAAAACACGAATATGTTCAGCCCCATCGACTTAGCAGAGATATCTAACTTAGTATATTACTTACATCTACACTTACAAACACCATAAGTATTGCATATGCACACATGAGATGCGCGATCAACAAGTGTACGTTCTATGGCTTAACTAAGATTATGTAAGATGAACGCTCTTACCGCACTTACAGCCACCCGACGATCAAAGCAACGCCTCGCCAGGTAGCCGGCCTCGGGCGTCTCGCCTAACTGGGCCCGCTTCTGCCCTCGGAGGCGCGCCGCCGTGGCCCGCTTCGCCTGGGCGTCGCGGCGTCGGCGCGCCGGCGCCGGTGGCAGCGGGTCGGCGAGGTTGCGCAGCAAGGGCACGCTGGCGGCGGCGTCGTGATTAGCCACAGCCCCACTGCTCTGAGCTGTCGCCCCACGGGAGCTCGAAGCGCTCGGCGCAGGGGGGCACTCGATCGCTCTATCTCCGAGCGCGGCCTCCAGGCCCTCACGCCATCGCCGGGGGACGGGCTGTTCATGCACAGCTCGGCAAGCTGAATGCGGCGCTGACCGCGCCAGAACTCGAACCACAGCACGACAGAGAGCAGGCGGATACATACCCGACAAGGTTGTCTTCCAAACCATCTGGAACTTCTGGGGGGCAACCTCTAGGCGAACTTTACCTTGAAGGACCTCATGGGGCACCGAGCATCTGCATAGCTTCCCAAGGTCCTCGAGGCCTTCTAGAGTCCCAACCAGGCGAGTCCTCTTCCGATACGGCGTACCGAAACGACAATAGTCGAGCAGCACCGACTGGGCCCCCTGAGCCTTGATGAGACTGACGAGAGGGGTCCACCGGTGTAACTTTGAATACGCAGGATTCTCCAGAACCCATTTAACTTCGTACTTGAAGGCAGCTTCGAGAAAACGAATAGTAACCATCGCCGTAGCATCGTGGATATCATCAGGAGCCTCAGGGGAGCTCTTGGGGATACACCAATTTGTGGAAGGAGTCCCCAACCATATGAACCAAATCCACCCCAATCTGATCCAATCCAAAATCTTCCGAACGATACGGGGATGTGTCAAATCCAAGTCGGGCGAAGTCTTCACGTCGATAGGCGTAGCGACGCGGAATCCGTTTTGCAAACGCGCTCCTGACAGACGAGCGCATCCCGAGAACAGCTCCAAAATGGCCTTCGCCGCCACACTGTGCCGCCGGGGGCGGCTCAGCGTCCCTCGGATCCGACGTCATATTCTGCCGACGAGAAAAAGCTGGAAAGGAAGTAGCTGTGCCCACAGACGAGCACGGCGCACGCTCATTATGTTGTTGATCATCCAATCCAATCTGCGAAAGGTGAGATGCACTCGAGGCTGAGGAAATCACCGCCGCCTCGGGAACTGCTTCCAGGCTAGGAGGCGCACGAACCTGGTCACGTAGAGCGAGGTCATGCAGTCCACATCGGCGCAGACGGGCGCGAAGACACTCTGCCCCGAGGGCTTCGCCAGGATGAACCAGTAGCCGGTCCGCGAGCCGAGAGCCCTCATCTGAACAGTTCCGCTCTGAGATCAAGTGGCGGCGCCGCCGGCGGATGTTGCAGGCAGCCTGAAGGGCCGACGAGCGGCGGCGCAAAGCGTTCAGCTCGCGGCCCTTGGCCCGCCCGCGCTCCATCGCCAAGATCTCGGACAGGTTGTCTCCCACCGAAAGGGGCTCCGAATCCCAGCGTCGCTCGCGCCGAGAGCGACGATGACGCCCCAGCAGAGAGGCGCGGGCCTCCTTGTCATGGATGGCCTCAGGCTTGCACCAACCCCCGACGACCACGCGTCGCCATCTCAGCCGATCGCTGAACGAGGCGCCGAGGGCCAGCACGGCGTGGGCGTCGATCGACTCGCGTGCCCGTCTCGACGCCCATCGCGACGAACTCGCCTTCCACGAAGAAGCGGTGATGTCATTCGCGACGAGGTCGCCGAAACCAAGCTCGGACTCGAAGGAGGGCGCCAGCGACGACGACTCTGCGGCAATCGAACTCCAGGGTCCTGGATCCGCGTCGTCGTCCTCGACAAAGGCCTCCAACGCCCTGAAGCGCCAGCGCTCCTTCCACGCGATGGCGGGCAACAACTCCCCTGGGTTGAAGCGCCCCACATGCACTGCGTAACCCGCCTGACTCGCGTCGGAGCAATGCACGGTCGTAGAAGTGTTGAGCCGAAAGTGATGGCGGACGATGGGCACCAGCCCGGCCGCCACCTTGAGCTCAGAGGCAACGTCAGCGGACAATCTGCCCGCGCGGCCGTCGAACTCTCCCATCCACCGCCAGCACTCGCGCAAGCAGCTCATGAAAGGCGGGAACAGAAGGAAGTGGTTGACGACGTGGCCTATCAGCCGCCTGAAATGGCGTCCTGATATCTGAGGCAAGCGCAGGGCCGAGTGAAGAGCGAAATGCAGACGCCAGGTCCTTTCAGACTTGTGAAAAACAATCGGCCAAGCGGCGCCCGTGATGAGCAACCCAAGCTGGGCCACTACCTTCTGGGCCTGGACCTCATCCCGCCAGACAACCCCTCCGCCTCAACTCGTCCAGAAGGCCGGCAAACGCTTCGAGCGCGTCGCGGCGGCCCCAGCACATAAGGGACGCATTGTCGACGTAAGGTGCCAGCACGGGCAAGCCAGGCTGAAGCACGGGCACAGGCATGCGGTTTCGAAGAATCCTCGCATCGATCCTGTCACGATCGGGCTCCGCCAAGCGCGTCATCTCAGCGACGACCTGAACATCTGTCAACGCGGAGTGGCAGAAAAACAAAGACCACGACCACCCCATTGGGGTGACCTTCGCGCATGCCCACAGCGACTCGCGCCCGTCCACGTCGACCCAGCGCGCAAGGTCGTCGTCGTACACGCGCTCGACCTCGTAGTCAGCCGCGACGATCTTGTGGGGGAGGCAGAAGTAGCCCGCCACCTCCTCGAACTCGAACTGGAAGTACCCGCCCGTGAGGTCCGCGCCCGAGAAGTGGACGTCGAGGGGGCGGCCGCGCTGCGTGTGCTCGTCCACCATGGCCTCACCCTCTCTCATGGACATGGAGCCAAGTGCCGCCGCTGTGGCCAGCTGACTGATGGGCGGCTCTTTGTGCAGCACGTTCGCCGGCCGACAGTCTAAGACCAGGCGGAGGTGGCAGCCATCCTTCTTGATCACCGCGAATGCGCCCACGAAACATCGAGCACGACGGCGAAAGGACAACATGCCGGCCGCGTGCAACTTCCGAGTGGGCGCCTCCATATGACGAGGCTGCCGAAGGACGGGATCTAAATAAGGTTTGATTGGAGTGTCTCGAGCGGCGGCGCATTCATCAACAGGCGCCCTGAAGATCCAAGGACGAGGATCCTCCGCCATAGGCCGGGCGTCGGGCCCGACGACTGCCGCCAGAGGCTTAGGGTGAACACCTCCGTCTTTGACATCTCTGACCCGCTCCGCATCAAAGGGCCTACGGGTCGCATCGTCAGTCGCGAAGTCGTAGATGTCCAGAGCACGAAGAACGCTTCTGAGAGCGCCCCTCCTTTCAGGTCCACAAGGGGGCGGCCCGAGGTCATCGAGCCGCCCCCTCAGCCGAGCCCCCGCGGCGCGCTGCAGCGCAGTAGGGGCAGATGCGCGTCTACATCGCCGCAGACGATGTCCAGCCCGGGCCGTCGCCATCGCGTTCAGAACGCCCACGGTCTCCGTCCGACGCCGATCGCAGGCCGCCGACCCCCTGGCCGTGAGCCCTTCAACAGGAGCAGATCGCCCCCCACACCCAAAGGGAAGCGGGAAGACGCCCCTCGCCGTCCGCGCCAGGTCGTCGCCGACGTGAGGGGCAGGCAGCACGACGTCATGATCTTGACCGTCACCGCCCGGGGCCGTTCTCCGCGCGGGAGAAAGGGATCGGGGGGCGCCGCGGCCAACAGCGCGCCCCCGGAGCCGTAGGGAGGTCATCCTCCCGACGACGACGCACCCGCGCCGCCGTCGCCTTTCCTGTCCTTGTTCTGGTTATTGTCCTTCTGCCTCTTGTGTGGTCCGCGTCGTGCTCTTCCTTCAGGAGCCTCTCCGACTTCACGATGATCGCCTGAATCTTGCGACGCTCCGCCATCTCGGCATCGAACTTGGAGGTGGCCACGCCACCGCTGGTGTCGAAGGCGTGCGACATGTAGGTCCCCAACCCGTCAAAATCTGGATTCCGAGGGTTCTTCTTCACCGCCCGCTGGATCATCAGGGCGCGCCTCGCAATCATCTCAGCTGACGCGGAGTTGGGCAAGTTGATCTGGTCAAACACCGCCATCATGAGCAGCATTCTCATCAGATGGTAGTGCTCCAGCGCCACGGCGGTCCTCTCGCCCACCGTGCTGCTGCGCACCCAGTAGTTGTGGCATGTCCCGAACTTGTAACCCGCGGCCGCAACACCGCGGGCGAGCTCGAGCACAACCCTCGAATTCTCGAAGGGGAAACCATCGGCATGCACGGCCTGCTTCATGGCCCGCACGGCGTCCTGCAACGTCATGGAGCGGAAACCCATGGTCGGATCCAGGCTCAGCGGCAGCAGCCTCGAGTCCCGACTCTCACCACATCGATTCTCCTGCATCCACTTATTCTTGTCGGCCGGCCTGACCCTCTCCGCTGTGGTCCACTCCTCACCTCTCTTGACCAAAGAGACGGTGGTGCGATGAACTGAAAGCTCGGGGTTACCCTGGATCGCGTCATCCACCTCCTCACCGAAGAAGCGGGTCGACGGATCGGAGTAAACCAGAACCGTGGCACCATCAGGATCAACCTCGCCATCACGCACCACCGGAGCAGCCCCTACGCCGCCCAAGATCTCAGCCAAAGCCCTCGCTTCAGCACGAATGTGGGCTAGGTCAGGGGCAGCAATGGGATTATCAAAGGCGCAGACGTTCAGGCCATGCGGGAAAGGCGCATTGCGCGCGAGCGGAAGCAGGCCCGGCACAACAGCACGGTCGGCGACGTCGATCGCCCTCACCGAAAAGTCGGGCGTAGACCAGATCCACCTCGAGCCATCGAGCTTGACGAGAAGAATACGATGGTGATACGGAATTCCATCATCTGGATAATGTACCAGTATCTGACGCTCAGGAATGTCCAGGGTCATGCTCGCGCAAGCTCAGCACGAAGCCTGCGGCTCGAAGGGGTCTCCACGTCCTGCACGGCGAGCGCGGGCGGGAGCACGAAGCGGCCCTCCGCCCCTGCGGCTCCGGAAGCCGCCTGCCGGCAGCAGCAGCACCGAGAGAGGAGGTAGATCGTGAGGCCCACGACCAAACCAACCAGCACACCCCACACCCAGCGTGAACAGCCGCACTCCAAGGTAGAAGCACGACTCGTCTGGTTCCCGCTGGGGAACCTCGCAAGGGGTACGCGAAGGCGAGGCCTTTGGAAACCTCTTCACCAGCACCTCGATGAGGTCTTCCAGTCTCTGCAGCCGACTGCCACTCACCGAAGGCGCCTCACACGGCACGACAGGCGGGCACGTCAGCGCGGGGCACTCCGCGCAGCGAGGGCACTCCGGTATGACAGGGAGTGCCGGGCAGACTAGGTCGGGACAGTCTGGGCAGACAGGGCCAGTTTGGCGACCCCAATCGAAGAAATGTCCCACGTGCAACAGTGCGTTCAGCAGGGGCGCAATCCCGGCTGCAACGACCATCACACGTCTGAGCCAACAGGACTACGGCGCAAGCATTACCCATGTTGCTCCCCTCCCCCTTTGGGTGGAGGGAAAAGGGAAACAAAGTTAGCGGGCATACGTATGTATGTGTGTATGTATGTATGTATGTATGCATGCATGTATGTATGTGTGTGTATGTATGTATATATGTATGGTGGTATGTATGTATGTATGTATGTATGTATGTATGTATGTATGTATGTATGTATGTATGTATGTATGTATGTATGTATGTATGTATGTATATTTGTATGTATGGATGTATGTATGTATGTATGTATGTATGTATGTATGTATCTGTGTGTATGTATGTATGTATGTATGCATGCATGTATGTATGTATGTATGTATGTATGTATGTATGTATGTGTGTATGTATGCATGCATGCATGTATGCATACATGTATGTATGTATGTTTGCATATACATGTATGTATGTATGTATGTATGTATGTATGTATGTATGTGTGTATGTATGTATATATGTATGGTTGTATGCATGTATGTGTGTATGTATGTATGTATGTATGCATGTATGTATGTATGTATGTATGTATGTATGTATGTATGTATGCATGTTTGTATGTATGTATGTATATATGCATGCATGCATGCATGCATGCATGCATGCATGCATGTATGTATGTATGTATGTATGTATGTATGTGTGTACAAATATATGTATATATATATATATGTGTACATGTCCATATCCGTACGCACCGCCTGCCAGGGTCCCCGAATACAGATCCCCAATGCGAACGGTGGGTATGGATAAATCCGCGCTTCGGACTCTGAGAGGCGGGACCCTCGAGCCTCCAGCAATGCACGGGCTCGTTCGCGTCCAGACTGTAGGGATGCCTCGAGCGAAGCGCCCGTCCGCAGCTCTGGGCGCGCTTCTTTGCAGAGTCCTGTGACCACAGCGATGTGGCAGGCATGTAAGACGAAACCAGGACGAGGATGAATTCGGGTGAGGATAGATCGAGAATTTCTGAGATCCGGCGGCTCTGGAGGATGTCTCAGGCGCCGCGGCCATCTCAGAGCGTTCCAAAACGCTCTGAGAGCGTTCCAGAACGCCCTGGAACGAACTTATCGTCCTAGCCCCGCGAGCCGCTGGAGCAAGTATGGCAGTTGGACCACCCAATGGGGAGCCGCCAAGGGGGAGCCTCCGCCTTCCTAACCTGGAGGGGCCCAGGGACACACACACACATAAATACACACACTAACACCCATGTTCCCCATACGTTCTCGTGTGTTTCTGGATCTTCGTCCTCCCCCCCGCTTCCCATTCTTTCCTGGGGATCGACGACTCATTGTGCCTGCGTGTCTTGTTTCTGACTACTACCTACCAGACCACCCCAACCCAACCCGAAGACCCGAATTTCGGGTTGGGGGGGGTACGGGTTCCATATGTGTTTTCTCGATGTTCCCCGACCCCCCCCAACTGGAAATGGAGGGCAAATCGAGACCTTCGGGTTGGGTTGGGGTGGTTTGGTGGGTGGTGAGTTTCCCCTCCCGAGAACCCTCCCCGCGGCCCGCGACCGCACGCAGGGAGGGGCGGGGTGGGCGAGGCGAGCCCCCCTCTGAGGCTTCGGAGCAGGGCCCGTCGAGACGACGGCGGCCCTCCCCGAGCACGCGCCGCCCTCCTCCTCCTCCTCCTCCTCCTCCTCCTCCTCCTCCTCCTCCTCCTCCTCCTCAATCCTCCTCCTTCGAGCTCCTGGCGGCTCCTCCCTGCCACGGCCGGATCCGTGCCAAGAGACTACTCCAGATTTCGTAATAAAGGGAGGGGGGTCTCATTTCGAGGGGGCGTCTCTTCCAGGCTATCCTGGAGGGCCTGGGGGGTTATGGGGACGATGTTTTGGAGGGTGCTCCCACGGGGGAGGTCTGAAATGGCTTGTTTTGGAGGGTCCAGGCCCCCTCCCTTATGTTACGAAATCTGGAGTACAGTCGGGCCGCTGAAAGAAGGAACGCCAAATAAGGAACGAAGCCCCTTCTTGGCCCTGTCAGCGCCTCCGTGCCCCAGGAGGGCAAGAGGAACAGCACTGGGGGAACCTAAGGAGCATCCATCCCCTTCCGAACCCAAACTGTTCCTTATTTCAGCGTCTTGGCTGTATGACGGCCAACCTGGAGCGGACTATTGGGCCCGACGGGAGAGCCGCCGTCGTCGCAGCTGGCACTCCTCTGCTCTCACCCTCGGGTCGGGCATGTCCTCCGACCGGGGGATATTTGGGGCGAAGGAAACATGCCCCCCCCCAAAAAAAAGAACATAGAACAAACAAACAAAGTAGAGAAATCGTCCCCAGACTGTTGTTGTGGGCTATCTTTGGGCATGCCTCCTGTAGAGGGACGGGTCCGCAGGCGGACTTGGGCCCGGCGCGAGAGCCGCCGACATGTCAGCTGGTACCCCTCCGATCTTGCCCTCCTCCTCCTCCTCCTCCTCCTCCTCCTCCTCTTTCTCCTCCTCCTCCTCCTCCTCCGCCTCATCCTTTTCCTTTTCCTCCTCCTCCTCCTCCTCCTCCTCCTCCTCCTCCTCCCCTCTCGACAGGCGCCGCGGCGCCCGCCGCGG